CTGCCCCTGCCCCTGCCCCTGCCCCTGCCCCTGCCCCTGCCCCTGCCTCCCAGGTGCTGGAATTAAAGGCCTGCACCTCCACTACTGGCCAAGGGTTCAATTTTTTTTTTTTTAAACGACCTCAGGTGTACTTAGAAATATGAACTCTTTGATACCTACTTGCATCTTAAATCAGATGAATCCTAAGCTAGTAGAAAGTTTTCAACTACTATTGTGTTTTAAAAGTTGCTTCTTTGGATGCTTTTTCTGAAGAGATTTTTGGATGGCACCTTCAGTCTTCCCTCTGGTCCCATCCCTCCCCCCCGTGGAGTAGGGTTAATTTTGGCCTGAACTGAAGTTATTAGGTTTGGCGTGTACAGCAAGAGGCGTGCGTTCATTCCTTTCAGAAGTTTATCACGCCTACTTGATGGCATCGCATGGCTATACCAATGACTTCAGCCAATTCGTAACTATCGGTAGGAGTCAGGCCAGGGAAGCTGTGCTGTCCTCCTGCCTTCAGCAGTCATACGTACTGAGCATAAGCTCTGGTCTTGGTGCTGATTTGATATAGTGTCAATGGAGGAACGTTTGAAAGCATTAGTTCCTAGAATGCAGTAGAAAATGATGAAGCTTCCAGATCACTTTCTCGAGATGTTTGTTTATTTTTTAAGCACCTTTGGTTTCAGATCTCAAGAGTTAGAGGTAGGGGATCTCAGTGAGTTCAAGGTCAGTCTGGTCAATGTAGTGAGCTAGAGATCATGTCTTAAGGTGGAGGGAGGCACAGAAGTCAGAAGAACTAAACTTTCTGAGGTAAGAGGGAAGCACAGTGGAGAGTTGTTCTGGGCTGATGTTAGATTTGCCAGCCTTTGTCATCACCTTCCTTTTGATTGTTTCCAGGGATTATCTGGAACACATAACGGCCATTGGCCCCAGGACTACAGGAAGCACAGAGAATGAAATTCTGACGGTACAGTATCTTTTGGAGCAGATCAAGCTGATAGAAGCGCAGAGCCACAGCCGTCACAGCATTTCAGTAGACATACAGCGGCCTACTGGCTCCTTCAGCATTGACTTCTTGGGGGGTTTTACAAGCTACTATGACAACATCACTAATGTCGTGGTAAAGCTGGAGCCCCGAGACGGAGCCAAGTATGCTGTCCTGGCTAACTGTCACTTTGATTCAGTGGCAAATTCACCAGGTATGTACTTGTATTTAGTCATTTAAAGTCAAAAAGATACAGCCCAGAAAGCTTATTAACTCAACCCCATGTGAGGACCATCTTTCTTTGTCCAACATTTTCTCACTGTGATAGAAGTTAAGCTAATTAATACCAGTTTAGAGTCTAACAATTTAATATTCCCTTAAGCTTGTTATTATTACTATTGTTATTGTAATTATTAAATAGTGGCACACAAGCCCCATGACAATACATGAGATGTTTTTAGTGCACTTAAGTTTATCTTCAGTTTACCAATGTGTCTGTCCATGTGTAAGTGCTTACACACTTACAGGGGTGGCAGTAGGCTTTGGGGGTACTGGGTAAAGATCTCTGTATTTAAGGGATACATGGATTAGAAGACATAAGTTCTAGTAGTTTCTGTTCACTTGAAAAGTTAAAATTATGGTCCACTGAAGGTGTGACATATTGGTAGAGTACTTAATACTGTGTTGAGAATAGACACTGGCAAGATAGAACACTTGATGTTCAAGACAATGTCTGGCACAATACACATGTGCCAAATCAGTGTGAATCCCCTAAATTGAATATTTTAAAAATAAGATTTCTCAGAAACATGATTTGTAGACTCTGGGTCTCTTTGTCCTTGGAGTGACACAAAAAAGTATAAGCTACATTGTCAAAGGCAATGATTAGAAAAGCATTTAAAAACTTCCTTCAGTTGTTTGATAGGGTATTGGTTGAAGTGCCTATAGCCAAAACTTAAACCAAAAGAAGCATTAAGCTTCCACAAATGTCTCAAAGAAAAGCATCACAGTCCACAGTGGAGCTTGGCGATGGGGAGACTCAATTAGTCTGAAAGCTGGAGATCAAGTTCTCCCGGAACGGAGAGGTACTGACTGATGTAGGAATGGACCACAAGGATTCTTTTTTGCTTTAACAAATTTGTATTTATTAAATATTTTATGTGTGTGTGTGTTTACATGCAATTGTGTATGTGTTTGAGCACTTGGAGGCCAGAAGAGGGTATCAGATTCCTTGATGCTGGTTTAGTTATCTGGGTGGCTGTGGGTTCTGGCATCAAAACTCTGGTCCCCTCTGATGGAGCAGAGAGCAGACTTAACTGATGACTCATCTCTACAGCTCCAAGGATTATTTTTTATTTTGATGTGGTGATGTTTTTGTAAAGTATTATAGAGTAAGACAGAATCACTATTGACATAATATATGAAGCCTGCGCATTGTATTAAATTCTGAAGTCTTTTATCATGTATGCAAATTTCCATGACTCATAATTTTTATAAGACAAACAGGAGTCTGTCTAAATTACTGACATCCATTACCTCTAAAGTTTCTCCTCTATATACTCATATAAATATTTACAAATAAAATATGAAAAAAAAAACCCAGCTAAGAATAGAAAGCAGCATTTTACAATGCCTGAGATTATACACTTAAGAAGACTCCTCTGACTGGTCACCATTAATAGACACAAAGCTGGGGTGGGTGCTGGGCCTCCTGACCAGGAGGAGAGTATCTTGAGTATTGGGCCTTCTTTTGGCATATTGCTTAGCTTAATCTATCTTTAATTTCTTTATTGTTAAATGAAAAACAAATAGCTAATTTCCTAACAGTGTTGCTCAAAGATTAAGTGTAAGTAAAACTTTGGGATAGTGTCTTTCAGACAAAGCCTTCTTTTGGTAGTAGTACTGTTGGTAGCTATACTTCTGGATTGCTTGAATGTATAGCAGGCCCAATATAACCACGTAGAGACATGTAAGATATACACTAGCCTTGACTTGATAAAATGATATTGTGATAAGACATTTCTTTGTACTTAGAATATATTTTGCTTATTCAGACATCAGTATCCACACAGTCATTTAAAACAAGGCACATGTGCCTTAACTATGCCAGGGACACTAGACAAAGTCACCGTGTGTTCACTATTAGATGCTTAAATTCTGGAGAGGGTCACATAAATGCTGTGGTTGTTTAGAAAGACTGGATATACAGGTATCAATCAAATGCAGAACCCCCCTCCTGATTTCCCCTTTGCCTTTCATATTCTATTCTTTTTTTTTTCTTTTCTTTTTTAAATTTTTTCGAGACAGGGTTTCTCTGTGTAGCCCTGGCTGTCCTGGAACTTACTCGGTAGACCAGGCTGGCCTCGAACTCAGAAATCCACCTGCCTCTGCCTCCCAAGTGGTGGGATTAAAGGCGTGCGCCACCACTGCCCGGCCTGCCTTTCATATTCTTAAGTGAGAGAAGATAGTAAAGAGAAAAGGAGACTGGTCACTGCCGTGTGTGCACAGATGCATCTTTGTGTTACCAAGGGGAAATGAATCATTTCAAAGAGGTGGCTCAGCTCTCTGCCTTGGATATTGTCTTTATCAAAGAGCAATACTTTTTTTTTTTGAAAAGTTACAAGGCAGAGGGTAAGAATCAGATGGGGTGTAGCTCAGTGGTAGAGCAATTGCTTAGAGTCTGTGTGGGTAGCGAGTTGTGGGAAAGGACGTGAATGGGCAAGTCTAGCTGGGCAAGCTTGCTGTCTGTAGGTTCTTCAGGGCCTGTGGTTGCTTCTAGAGACTAACCTTTGTCCTTCCAGGTAGACAGGGCGGTGGAACACCTGCATAGATTTATGTTCTGTTTTTAGACAAATGAGGGGAGAGCACAGAGCTTTTTTGTTTCTTCAGATTTCCTTTAACACCCAAGGGCCTTATATTACAGTAACATATTTTGAATGGCATTTTCTGCTGCTGTTTACATAGAGCCAGGCATATAGATTATATGTGGAGTCCACTAATGAAAAGAATCTTTGGAGAGCCATTAGAATTTTTAAGCCCCTCCCCCTTTTTTAGAGACAGGATCTCATGTAGTCCAAGTTAGCCTTGAACTAGTCTTATATTGCTATGTAGCTGAGGATGACCTTGAATCTTCTGATTTGAGTGTGCCACCACGCATGGTTTAAATGACTAGAAAGAGTTTTGTTTTTCTCAGATTGACCCTATGGCTTCCTGGATGCTAAGCAATTACTCTGTTTCTAGTTTAGAAATAATTTTTTTTTTTTTTTGGTTTTTTGAGACAGGGTTTCTCTTATAGCCTGGGCTGTCCTGGAACTCACTCTGTAGACCAGGCTGGCTTCGAACTCAGAAATCCGCCTGCCCCTGCCTCCCAAGTGCTGGGATTAAAGGCCTGCACTACCACAGCCCGGCTTAGAAATAATTTTTTACGTAAAATTTTATAATACTCATACTGATGTTATGAAGGAAGTATCTATCAATAATAAGCTAAGAGTAGCTTTCCACTCATGCACCAAATAGTTGTCACCTGAATCCTCTCCGTGGATGAACTCATTGAAGCATGAGTATTTTTTGTGCATGCATGTTGTGCTGGGGGTAGAACCTGACACCTGTACATGCTCTGCCACTGAGATGTCTCCAGCCTCAGGAGTGTTATTGAGACATCCTGAACTGTGCAGTCTAGGCTGGCCTTAGTTTTACCAGGGGTTCTACTTAAGTCACCTCAGGGCTGGGTCCCAGGCCTGCATAGCTGTGCTTGTTTTCCTGTGTGTATTAAAGTTCTCAGCAGCATACTTGGATCTGGAATTGATACCAATTAGAAGTAATGCTACCTACAGAAGGACCTCATTTATCTTCTCAGGTCTGCTGTGTGCTGCCAGGTCTTTGGTAAAAGAGACATCTGAGTTACTTTGGGGTGGCTTCACTTTCAGGGTGATTGTAAATGGAAAAGGATGTCAGTTTGTCACTTAGCCCTCTTACTGTTTTCTACCGTCACTCTCTCAAAGGCATTGTGACCCTTTTCTGTTCTTGTCTAAGACACTGGCCCCTTAGAGTAGTAGGGAGAAGGAGTGGGAAGTTTAAGTTGGTAAACAGCTCTGTATATGAAGGTAAGTGTTGTTCATTTCACTTTGAATAAAGAGAAGTGTTACTGTTTGCTTTTCATTTTAAAATAACAGTCTCAAATGGAAAAGAAAATGTTTATTTCATGTGGCCCACATTGCCTACATCAGCTTATACCCCTGCTCTAACAGTGATCAGGTAACTGCTACTTTGTTTCACTTTCACTAATGACTAAAGTACAGTCCAATAATCACCAAGACTAGTATCATTAATATTGTTTCTTTTTGAGCAGGAGTAGGGTTTAGAGTTCAACAGAGCCCTAAAGCCAGTGTTTTATTTTCCCTGGTTACAGAGCCTCCCCTCAGTTTTCAGAGAGAAGGAAGAAACCCGAGGATGTTTCCCAGGTGCCAGGCAATGCATGTTGTCTTGAAAAATCTGTGCAAAAAGCCTGTGGGGTAGAGTCATCAGTTTGCTTTCTAGACCAGAGAACAGTGAGCCAAGTGACAGAGATAGAATTCGCCCTACATCCTTCCTGTTCTTGAGTCCTCACTGAACACTGCAGCACCCTGACTCATCACACACACCCCCTCGGAAGTGCTACTGCCTGAGTTATGGCATTTCCTTACTCTAAATGCCCGTAAGCTTCCTAGTCTGAAAAGAATCAGATCAGTAGAAAGCAGAGTCGTTTCCTGAACTCCAGGGTGCCCCCAACTGCCTCTTCTTTTCCACCTCAGCCCTCCTGCTTGCTTCTCTCTGAGTCGCTCTTGGCTGCATTGCTTCCTCTGTAGTTCAGTCTGCAGGGGTGAAGCATGAGGCCCCCCTCGAACATGCTAACAGTTTCATGAGATACCTCACTTAGGAAACTTAGCAATAACCTTCTACTGTCATCAAATAGCCAGCCAGTCCCTTTAACTACCTCTCATGGCACTTTAAAAATCAGCACTTGGGGCCCAGCAAGTCAGCCCAGTGCTTAAGGGCACCTGCCACCTAGGCTGCCAGCTTGGCTGAGTTTGGACCCACATGACAAAGAAAGATGAAGCCCTGCACATTGTCCTCTGACTTTCATATGTGCACTGTGAAAAATGTGCACCCCAAAAAATAAACACATATAATGTTACAGCAACAGATTTAATTAAAAAACAATCAGAGTACTAGGGTTCTTTTTATAATCTTTAATTAATATGGTGATTTTCTGATGTAGAGGCTGGAGTATCTGCTGTACTCTTCAGTGCTGAGACAAGGCAGTTTACTCTTCTGGGTCTTACCATTCAGGTGCCTTTGTACTTTTCCATTACTTGATCCCTTTTTAAAAACCTTAAAGCATCTAGTCTTACTCCCTCTGTAAATGTGAGGTGCTGTTGTTTATGATTTTGAAAGACTGGTAGAGAGGAGGAAGCCATGAGTACCAGAAGTACCCAGAGGATGGGGATGAGGATACACTCCAGTTGGCCTTAGGCTCCATCTGGCTAATTGATGCCACAGCTATTGAGTGTGTACTGAACGAATGCTTCCACCGATCACATCATTGAGGAGACCAGGCAAGACTCTTACAGGACTTGTCTTTGTTGAGCATAGTTGTCACCCTGTGATGACACAGTTATGCTTCTGATCACACAGCTATCATGATGCTCCTCTGAGGGGAAACTCTATCCCAAAGCAGTAAGGAAAAACACAGAAACTCTGAGAAGTGACTCTGTTTTTTCTGACTCCAAGGTGCCAGTGACGATGCAGTTAGCTGTGCAGTGATGCTCGAAGTTCTCCGGGTCATGTCAGCATCTCCAGAACCCCTGCAGCATGCTGTGGTGTTCCTCTTTAATGGTGCAGAGGAAAATGTCTTGCAAGTAAGGTTTTACTGTTTTAAGTATTTGGGTTGAATAATGATGACAGTAATAATGATTATGAATAGTATCTTAATAATAATATGCAGAATAAACACTGTGCCTGGCAGTGGTTTAAAACACCCATGCGTGTAGCGTGCTCAGTAAGTTAGAAACTCAGCTGGGCACTGCTCAGCCTCCTAGGATGTGACATTTTTGTTTGTTTTCGCCCTAGTCTTTGAAGCAGGGTCTTGCTGAGTCTCCTAAGGCTGGCCTGGCACTTGTGATCCCCCTGACTCAGCTTTCTGAGTGTCGCTGTAACCAGAAAAGGGTTTGACTCGAGAGCTTCTCAATGGCATCATTGCTCTCCTGATCTTTTTTAATCTCTGAGATCAGAGAGCTGAGGAAGGGACACAGCACTAATGCTTAACCGTATTGATTATCTTTCCTGTCTTTTCTTCTTAACGTTTGCGTATTTTCACAGTGACTTTCCACCTGGCAAACTGAACCCACCATTTTATACAGGACGGTGCCTGTAGAGTCTGCATTTGAGAAATGTCGTTTTGCCCTCATAGTCCCTATCTTTTCAGATAGTCATTCTGCGTACACATAAGCAGAATAAAGACATAGTTAAACCTACATTTGTTTTCTTTCCTCATTAAGGCAAGCCATGGTTTTATTACTCAACATCCCTGGGCCAGTTTGATTCGAGCATTTATTAACCTGGAGGCTGCAGGTGTTGGAGGGAAAGAACTTGTTTTCCAAACAGGTATGTGAGGCTGTGCACTGAGCTGTTCAATGCGACAGTGGAAAGTTTTTCAGTGTATACAATCTTTTTAATCAGAAATTTCTTGAATGAGGTTTGTTTTTAAGGCATGAATGTGTATGGTAATATGTACGTTGGTATGGGTGTACATGTATGTGTGTCTGCATGTATCTGCACTGTGTGCTTGTATGCGTGCTTATGGTAAACAGAGGTGCTAACATCACATGCCTTCCTCAATTGCATTCGACCTTTCTGAGTCAGAGCCTCCTACTGGACTTGGACCTCATCCATTCAGCTACTCTGGCTGGCCATTGAGTTCTAGGGGCCTTCCTGACTCTTTATTAATTTTTAAAAGCAAAATAATGTGGACAGCATGTGACTCCTATATAGTACTTATTATATGAAAATATTACACTCAGTTATCTAGTTTTCAAAGTGTGATGAGCACATGCTGTTGTTCTTCACTCTACAGATGAAGAATAGAGGTGAGAGTTTATCTTGCAAGGTTTTATAGTTGGTATGTGTTAGCGGATTGGAGCAGGAGTGACTCAGACTCAGAGTTGGTTCACAGAGAGCAACTGTATTGTAATATGTGCTGGTTGGTTGGTTTATTTATGTTTTTGACAGCATGACTCAAACTAGAGTTATCTGGGAAGTGAGAGCCTCTGATTGGCGCGTGGGCGTTTTCATGATTAGTGATGGATATGGAAGGGCCCACCCACTGTAGATGTACCACTCTCCACAGGGAATCCTGAGTTTTGTAAGAAGGCTGAGCGAACCATGGAGTGCAGCCGTCCCATAGCCTACACTTTCCATGCAGCCTGCAGGCTTCTGACTGGAGTCCCATCCTTGCTTCTGTGGTGGTGGATTCTATAACCTGTAAGCCAAGTGAGCCCATTTCTCTCCAAGTTCCTTTTGGCTAGCGTTTTATCAACACAGCAGAGAAGCAAATAAGGACATAATACAATGTGGATATTACTAATTATGGATGATTAGGATATAAGGGTTTTAAAATGATAGAATTAAAATAAGAAAATTTACTCACAGTTTAAGGAATTTAATTTCATCACTGAATAATTTGAATGTTAAAAAAAGTCCAGTAAGTATAATAGTCAGAGAGAGTTTAATTTTAGAATTATGCATTCCTGAAGATAGTAGGGTATAACTGTTGAACATCATGCCATCTTTGCAGGGTTGAGACTTGCTCAGCAGGGCCTGCTAAGACCTGACTTTGGAAGGCCCGCCTTCTGTCTGCCCCGCCACACACAAAGCTGCCTCTGTTGAGTGAATCAAGACAGTCTCATTTCACATCCCTGGCTGCCCTGGTATCCGATCCTCTGCCTCGACCTTCAGAGTGCTGGGATTATAGGCATGTACCCTGCCTGACTTGTCAGGAGTCCTACAGTGAATAGTGTTTTGGGTGAGTGGAGCTAGAGGACATGAGTGAAGTGATAGACACTTACTCTGTAGCATCTTTAAAAGACATTGTATTATTTAAGTTTTGAAATTACAGTATGCCAGACAGTGGTAGTTCACGCCTTTAATCCCAGCATTTGGGAGGCAGAGGCAGGTGGATTTCTGAGTTCCAGGCCAGCCTGGTCTATAGAGTTCCGGTACAGCCAGGACTGTACAGAGAAATCCTGTCTCAAAAAAATAAATAAATAAAAATAAAAAAAAATAAAAGAAATTATAGTAAGTACTGTTTTTTTTATAACCTAAACAGTATTATATTTCAATACTCTCTCAAACTTACTTTAAACTTTTAAAATGATCCTGTATTTTATTTCAGTTACAACTTTAAGAAATTCAGGGTTGCCAGTTTGGTGGTATAGGCTTTTAACCCCAGCATGTGGCAGACAGGGACAGGCAGATCTCTGAATTCTAGGTCAGCTAAGGCTACATAGGGACACCTTGACCACACAAACAGACAGACAGTCACACACAGACACACAGACACACAGACATACAGACACAGACAGACAGACAGACAGACAGACAGAGACAGACACACACACACACACACTCACACACACACAGAGTTAGAATTAAAATGCTCATTTATTTCCAAATATGTAATCATTTTGAAATTCCACGTTGCTGGAGATTTTATCTAAAGCCGCATACATTTAGTTGAGGAGTAAGGACTTGGGTCTAATCAGAGCCAGCAAAAGGGAACACTCATAGAAGTTAACAGACTGCCTTGAGCTGAGGTGCCATTTTAGGGAAGTGTGTGTGTATGTATGTGTGTGTGTGTGTCAGAGAGAGGGGGTGGTAGGGGAGAGGGAGAGAGAGAAATTGAGATTTAAGGTCACAAGGTGAGATACAGCAAGACTTTTCAGCTCTCAAATTTTTCTTTCTCTTTATTCAGTGAGAAGCAGCTGAACTCTAATATCTGTAGAAACAGGTAGCTGCTATCAGCTCTGGCCCCATTTTCTTGATGCAGGAGGAACATCTTCAACAGCCACCAAATCAGAAAGGGGCAGCAGAGAATGCTAAGCAAGGAGTCTCAGTGGCTGTGAAATCCCAGGCTTGCAGGAGGAACAGCATCTTGTGTATCCTGTCAGAAGTGTACTGTAAACTTAAGTGCCTTCCTCTCCGTGCCTTTAATGTATGCAGCACCTGTCCTATCCTCTGCTCCCTGGACATCGTCCAGTCTCATGCTTTAGTCCAAATGACTCCTGAGGTTTTCTCTGCATGTATTAGTACAGTCTACACAGATAGTCTGATGAGATGAGAGCACACTTCCCTAAAATGGCGCCTCAGCTCAAGGCAGTCTGTTAACTTCTATGAGTGTTCCCTTTTGCTGGCTCTGATTAGACCCAAGTCCTTACTCCTCAACTAAACGTATGCAGCTTTAGATAAAATCTCCAGCAACGTGGAATTTCAAAATGATTACATATCTGACACAAATGAGCAAAGTTAGCACCAGTTACAGGTAGAAGGTGGGTGTTTGCTGGCAGGACTAGGCCAGGGAGGCTGCGGCAGTGGTTGGGGGAGGAGCATCGAAAGTTAGTGAGCTTCCCACTGCTCTGTGAGGCTAGGTGCAGAGCTGATCCTGCCCTGTCTGCTCTGCAGTTCTCTGTACTGTTAAATAGTTCCCCGTGTATTTGTTACTTTGATAATAAAACCCCAGTACCTCCATCGGTATATGTGCAATTTAAACATTTTACTCATTCTAAAACCTTCCCCTGGAAGGAACTCATAACAGACTTGCTGAGAACATCCTTCTTATCTGAACTTTACACCATTCTTTGCTTCTAGTTTTGAGCTTATCTTAATGGTTTAAGTATGTGCCTGAGAGCTTTCGGATGTACCTTCTGATGGGCTAGTGTATTTCTCAGGATGTCGCTCACATCTGATGCGACTGCCTATAGAAGACTGGCTTTCTTATGGTTCTATCTTCTAGAAAACTCCTAGTGTTGATTCCATTTTTTGACTAATAGAACAGACACCTCAGTCTGGCAGACTTAGTTTTTGAGACCGAGTGCCAGATGGCCTTGTCCTCGGCTTTCTTTCTGTGTGGTGAGACTTCTCTTCTCCTGGCTTTTCAGATAAAACAGTTTGTACTCTTCAGAACTCCATTGTCACTTGAGAGGGAAATGCTCATTTGGGGAGCTTTTCGTGGCTGGAATAATCATTCTTCCTTAATGTCAGAAAGAGTGGCTCATCAGACCAGCACTATCATGAAGTGCTTGATGGCATCATTTTTGAAGATACTAACAAAGTATAACCTTATAAAATTTAAACAGATTAAACCATTAACATGTCCCATTTTGAAAAATTCAGGCTCTACCAAGTACAAGAAATCTGGTAAGTCAGAAGCGCAGGGCTTTCCCATCACTCTGAGCAAACCAATGCTAATTTGCTCTATAACTTTTTGGGATTTTAAAGTACTTTTTCTTATTTAAGTTTTTAAAAATTTATTTACCTTTACTTTATGTGCATTGGTGTTTTGTGTGCATGTATATCCTAGAGTTATAGACAATTGTGAACTGCTATGTGGGTGCTGGGATTTGATCCCTGGGCCTCTGGAAGAGCAGTCAGTGCCCTTAACCACTGAGCCATCTTTCCAGCCCTGGGATTTTTTTTTTTTTAAAAAAATGTGTATTTATGCACATGAACATATACACATATTATTTCCTTAAAATGGGACAATGTTTTGCAACTGTTGCCATCCTTAGAATATATATAATCCATGGCACCATTAAGGTATAATTTAAATGTCCTATAGTTTACCAAGATTCAGTGTGGTTTAGGTTTTTCCATGTAGTTGTGTACCATTATCAAATTTTAGAGCATTTTAAGGAAAGGTTTGTTTATGTGCATGTGCTCATATGTGTGTGAATGTGTGTATAGGTGTGCAGGTGCCCAATAAGGTCTGAAGTAGTCATCGGATCCCTTGGAGCTAGAGTTAGAGGTGTCTGTGAGGCCCCTGACATGGGTGCTGGGAATTGAGCCCTGCTCCTGATAACTGAGCAGCACAGCTCTAACCACTGAGCCACTTTGCATCTCCTAGAACATTGGTCATCATTCCTAAAGGAATCCGTGTACTCACCAGTTAGCTCTCGCTCACATTTCCTCAGTGCAGGCAACCACATGTGGTCTGCTGAACAGAGCTATCCGAGTAACCCTGTGTTGTGTTGTTTTGTTTCATTTCAGGCCCTGAAAATCCTTGGTTGGTCCAGGCTTACGTTTCAGCAGCTAAACACCCTTTTGCTTCTGTGGTGGCTCAGGAGGTTTTTCAGAGTGGAATCATTCCTTCTGATACCGACTTCCGAATCTATAGGGATTTTGGGAACATTCCAGGTATTTTGTCTGTGGTCACAGGGTGTTGTGTGAAACAAAAACCAGACATTTCTTGAAAGTTATAATGGCTTCTGAGAGGACACTATATGTGAAATATTTATCTTCTGAATCACTGTCTCAGTTAGGTTTTTACTGCTGTGAACACACACCATGACCAAGGCAACTTTTATAAAGACAGCATTTAATTAGGGCTGGCTTACAGGTTCAGAGGTTCAGTCCATTATCATCAAGGAGGGGACATGGCAGCATCCAGGCAGGCATGGGACAGGAGGAGCTGAGAGTTCTACATTTTCATCTGAAGACTGCTAGGAGAAGACTGGCTCTTCAGACCGCTAGGATGAGCCCATACCCACAGTGCCACACTTCCTCCAACAAGGCCACACTTCCTAATAGTGAGACTCCCTGGGCCAAGCATATTCAAACCACCACACTCAGGAAAGTAGAGTTCTTGATGCTATCTTTTCAAAGCCCTGTGGTAATGCTTGCCTGCTTTATGGTGTTGCCATGCACCCGTGCTGGAGATGGATAGACTTCATTCTCCAGAGATGCCAGGAATCCTCAGGGTTTTGACTCCTATGCTGCTGTCTTGCTTTTCCAACTCCTTTGATGATTTTTAGTTTATTTCAATTAAATTTGGCTCTTAACTGCCCAAATTCCATCCTCAAAACTTCCCCCCTAATGCATGACTTAAAATGGCTCCTTAATGTTTTAAATTATTGACCGTAGTTATAGATTTTAAACATTTATTTATTCACTTTACATCCCAATATCAGCCCCCTGCTCCTCCTAGTTCCTGGTTCTAGATTTTGTAAGAACAGAAAAGATTTTATGTCATTCATGAATATGACAGACATCAGTCAATCTCTTGTTTTGACATTTTATCTTTTAGAATTTAATATATCAAACAGAAAGGCCTAACACAAGTCTGATCTTTAAAGTAAGATGACATTTTCCATTGTCTGTCTTAGGAATAGACTTAGCTTTTATTGAAAACGGATACATCTACCACACCAAGTATGACACAGCGGACAGAATTCTCATAGATTCCATTCAGAGAGCAGGTTGGTATTTACAGGTTTGGCCTTTGAGATACAATGATGAACTATTGTGGATGATCGATAGTACATTCTGTAGTCTGTGTGGGAGAGACAGTATGTGGCCGAGTGGGTTACAGACTTGGAGTTGGAAAGATGAGGGCTTGGACTTTAGTCGTTGATGTCTGGCTCACTGTGAATACTCATAAAGCAGTGGCCCAGGGCTGTGGTAGGGTTTCGGATTCACTGAGAATTTAGAAGATCAGCCCCAGGCTGCAGTTGGACTGTTGAAGAGTAAAGAAGGCAGACAAGTGAATGCTATGAATGGTAGTAGCATCAGGACCTGGGTTTGTGCACCAGATGGAAGCAGAGAATGGCACATGGAGCTCATAGCGGGGGTGAGGACAGATGTGGCACTTAGACAGAGCATTGCAGTGCTTCCCGGAGATGTAGAGACATTTGGGGAGGCCCATCTCAGGCTTGGGGAGTCAACAGGGATTTGAGCTACAGAGAGAAGATGACCTTTTTAGTAAAAGCACAGCATAGAGCAGGAGGGACCCGGGGAGGGGATGGGTGGTATGCTGTGCTGTCAGACTGGAATAGAAGTAGTGTTTCAGAAACAGAAGTGGATAAGCTTGAAATATATGGGGAAGGATACAGACGGCTTCAGAAGTGATCAAGGGCTTGGAGGCAGAGAGCTTGCCCAACAGTACAAGGTCCCGGAGCCCGTCCCCAGCAAACGGGGTGAGCAGACGGCTCAGCAGATAAAGGCTCCTGCTGCCAGAGCTAGCAACCTGAGCTGGATCCCTGGGACCCACATGGTGGAAAGAGAGAACCAACTCCAGAGAGTTGTCCTCTGACCTCTGGATATGTGCAGTGGTGTGCAGCACCCCAGTAAATAAAAATGTGATGTGATACACAATGTGTAAACTGGAAGGATCTGGAGGAGGAAGGAATCCTTGAAGGTCTCACTAACGGGAACTCACTAATGAGCTCCTTACGGTGGTTTTAAGTATTATGGTCTGGCTGTGGAGTGCAGAGTGAGGAGTTCGTTTCCAACAGTCGTTTATACAGAAAGACGAGCGCTGACTGGTGCTAACAAAAGGAGATAGTGCTGGGGGACAGGTGCATTGTGAGCATTTGGAGTGTCTCATCTAGGGTGCGTGCGTGCGTGCGTGCGTGCGTGCGTGTGTGTGTGTGTGTGTGTGTAACTTTCCTCTCTTCATGGACATGGTTATGTCAAAAATCTGGACAGTTTCTTACTTTAGCGCGTCCTCCCGCTCTTTCTTACTGTGTAGGGTGGTTGCCACTTGTCAGCTCCCTGCTCTGCTTCCAGAAGCCGGTCACAGGCCCACACCACCACACCTGGCTCACCTTAAAAACATTTTTTTTCTGATGTAGGATTTCACTCTGTAGCCCAGGCTAGCTGTGACATTGCAACCTTTCTGCTTCCTTCCTAGCTGTTCCTTTCACTGTTATTTGTTCTGGTTGGCTATCCTAATGTAATGGAGATCAAACTCGGGCCTTGTGCATGCACTCCAGGAAAGCACCATATCACCGGTCCCAGAGCCAACTCTCCAGCTAGTTTTAGGGAAAATTGTTTTTCTTTTATTTTTAAGACAAAGTCTTGTTGTATAGCTCAGGCCAGCTTTGAACTTGGTGTGTAACATAGGCTGGCTTTGAACTTATGATCCTCCTGCCTTTGCCTCTCCTTCCTAATGGTTTGTTTTTAAGATTTATTTACTGTTATGTGCATTGATGTGTTGCTTGTATGCATGTCTGTGCAAGCGGTAGATCCTTTAGAACTGGAGGAAGAGACAGCTGTGAGCTGCCATGTAGATGCTTGGAATCGAGCCCCAGTCCTCTAGGACAGCAGCCAGTGCTCTTAACCACTGAGCCATCTCTCTAAACCCCCTAATAATTCTTAGCATGCTTTAGCAACTTCGTGAGAGGTGCTTTTTTCTTGTTTAACCACTGAATTTCTGGTCTTAGTGTCTCTCATGGTTATGATGTATCCATGCGTAAGGCATGAGGCGGAGCTTTGGGGCTGGGCATTTGTATTAGAGGGCCAAGGCTAAGTGGGGAGGAAGGAGAGCAGGAGCAGGGACCTTATCTGGGAAATCTGGCAAGACAGGGGAGTGGAGTGGAAGATGGGAAGAGGTGTCTGCTCGTGTTTTCTGGGTATTTCCTTTGCAGATCCTGCTGATCCACTTCTGCTTCATGTGGCTGTATGTGGAAGTCACGACGGAGTAGCTTATTAGACCTTGTTATTTTTCTTAATAAAAGGTGACAACATTTTAGCAGTTCTCAAATACCTAGCTACGTCTGACATGCTGGCTTCTTCGTCTGAGTACCGACATGGAAACATGGTGTTCTTCGATGTGCTTGGCCTGCTTGTCATTGCGTACCCTTCCCGTGTTGGCTCCATAATAAACTACATGGTGGTTATGGCTGTTGTTCTGTACCTGGGAAAGAAACTGCTGCGGCCCAAACACAGGAGTAAGTCTTTCCCTTTAAACTGTGTTCTGGAATGAGGGTGGGATTTGCTGAGGAGGTTTTAGCCATTGTTTTTGTTTCTTTAGAATCTTCAGAGACTATTAGTTGATTTACATTTTTAGAAATTCCTAGATGAGTATTTAGTTGGTATACTCATTATCCTTTGAGGCTTGGTGAAGATGACAGTGTTTATGTACTCACCCTGGAACTGGCAAAGTCAGCTAGATTGTCTGCCTTAGCCAAACTAATGGAAGGCAGGGCCATGGAAGAAGGCAGGACCTAGAAGGCTAAGCCCTGTTCTGCAGTGCGGTGTCCTGTGCCCTGCAGGGCTCAGCAGGGGCGGCCCATCCCCATTCACCAGCTGTGTTCATCCAGTCTCTTGTTATGGTGTGAAATCACTAACAATACTGAAAGGGAACTTCAGTACTGTATGACGTTTGCTTTTCAAAGGAAAAACGTTGCTAGAATTGTTCAAAGGAAAAAGCGTTGCTAGAATTGTTTCTCTACTTATTAATAACAAATTGTAGTTTCTTGAAATTCAGTCGTATTTTATACTATGATCAAGTCTATAACATGTGTTAAAACTAAAATTTACACAAAAAGAAAAAAAGGTTTGTAGAGGTTGCCTTTTTTTTTTTTTTTTTTGGTTTTTCAAGACAGGGTTTCTCTGTGTAGCCCTGGCTGTCCTGGAACTCACTCTGTAGACCAGGCTGGCCTTGAACTCAGAAATCCGCCTGCCTCTGCCTCCCAAGTGCTGGGATTAAAGGCGTGTGCCACCACTGCCCAGCGACTTCTTATTTTTTTAAAAAAAATACTTAGTGTGTTTGGGTGTGGGCACATGCACAAATATAGAAGTCAGAGGGCAGCTTGTGGGAATTGGCTCCCTCCTTCCACCACGTAGGTCCTGGGGATCAAACCAAGCTCATTAATTTGGCCTGCTGAGCTATCCTGTGGGTCCTATAGACTGACTGTTAGTGAAAAGTCTCATGAAGTCTTGTCTGCTACAGGCCAGCAGCATACAGTCCTGAAATGGATGCAATTGCAACTTTTCTGCTTCCATTCTGCCTGAATCATTTCTGCTTGAAATGTTTCAGAGTTTAAATTGTTGTATGTTATTACAATATAAGTATTTAGTAGCATTTGAAATAATTCTTTATCACCAGTTTTTTTCCCTGTCATTATTTTCCAATGTTATTATTTTAAAAAACATTTTACACTTATTTATTCACCTGCTTATTTGTGTGTGTGCATGTGTGAAGTCAGTAGACAGCTGTGGCTTCAGTGCGCTGGGGTCTGGGGATTGAACTCAGGCTGACCGGCTTGCGTGGCAAGCACACTTGCCTGCTGGACCGTCTTGCCAGCCCTATGCTACTGTCTCTTAACAAGAGTTTATATGGAACCATTTCTCTTCAAATTCTTGCTAATATTTTGACAAATGAAACATCCTAAAAGTAAAGATTCCTACTTCTTTCTCTAGTGAGGAGGGTATCTGAATTCCTGTGAGACATGTCTTAATTGTCAATATCCCTGGACTCTCATGTGTTCCTTGAACATCACCCTTTATTCTTACCCCATTCTTGTGTTTGACCATTCTCTAAACTACATTTAAATATTTTCAATTACGTAGTGAATTTTTTGTTTTAATATTTGGCCCTTTAGCTGGTTTTGTTGTAACTGGTTTTGTAACTGATTTGATGAAGATTAACTGTTTGTTTTCTCTTCCTTAGATGCTAATTACATGAGAGACTTCTTGTGCGGACTTGGCATCACTTTTATTAGCTGGTTCACTAGCCTTGTTACAGTTCTCATTATAGCAGTGTTCGTCTCTCTCATTGGACAGTCTCTCTCATGGTATAACTACTTTTATATCGCCGTTTGCCTGTATGGAACTGCAACAGTCGCCAAAATAATACTCATTCATACTCTTGCAAAAAGATTTTATTATGTGGTAAGTGCTGATGTATTTATTTATTTTTCTGCTTTCATGAACTGAAGACAAACAAGTGAAATTATTGTGTATGGTCTTTGAGAGCTATTAGACATTGTTCAGCTGGCTATAGACAGTGCTGCCACAGTTGTGTTAATTTCCTGGACTTTGCTTATTCTCAGAAGTGGTGCAGAATTCAGATGAAGTTGCAAAGCTGTGTTTTCAGCAGTGTTTAGAACAGTGGTGGCAGTGAGCCTTGCTCGCGTGCCTCTCTGCCTCTACTGTTGTTCTGTAGCTGTGTTTCCATGCACCGACCCATACGGTCCACTTAGTCCTAAGTGTGACTATCACTGCTCCCCTCTGGACTGCACAGCTGGCGAGCAAGGTGCCGACTAATCCACTGCACCCCTTTATTAGGCAATGCTTGACATAACCTGACATGATAAACATTTATTTCCTTAAACAACAGTGCATGTAAAATCTCCTCGTTGATTTTTTTCCTTCACTTTTTCTTTTCTTTTTGATATTACATCATTACCCCCTTTCCTCTCTACCCTCTAATCCCTCCTATACATCTCCTTGCTCTTTCAAATTCATAGCCTCTGTTGTCATTAATTGTTGTTAAGCATATGTATGTGTGTATATATACATATATGTATATATATATATGTTCATAAACATCACCTTTAGTCTATATAAGATTCATATGTCTGCTTTAGAGCTGACCATCTGGTGTTGGATAACCGATTGTGCTTTTTTTGGAGAAGAGTATTTTTCTCCCAATCTCAGCATGTCTTAGTTGCCTGTAGTTCTTTGTGTAGGGTTGAGGTCTTGTGGTCTTTCCCCTACCTACTTTACCATGTCTATTGTTGTCCGTGTACAGCTAATATTTATGCAGTCATGATGGTGAGTCTTTACGGAGTAACTTCTGACATTAAGAGACATAGTATCATAGCAAACTCTGTTATCTTTCTGCTCTTTGTATCCCCTTTTGAAATGTTCCCTGGGCCTTAAGCTCTAGAGTTGTTTGTAGTTGTATTTATTAGGACCGGGATCCACAAGTTTCTATTTTGATTGGTTGTAGTTTTCTATAATGGTCTCCATCTGCTGCCAAGTTTCCTTGATGCAGAGTAAGGACTACCGTTCTATGTGGGTATAAGGACAAATATTTAGTATGCAGTTAGGGGTTATCCTGGTTTGGTAAAGTGGTAGTTGTAGGTTCTCTAAGATCCACGATACAAGCCCTGGTGGTTGGCTAGGCTTCCTGTACCAGGCATGGGATCCCTCTTGTTGAGTAGGTCTTACGTTCAATTAGAGAGCTTGGTTACCATCAAGATATGTGGGCCACTACTGCAGCCTTTGGGCTTTCTTGCCCTTGTGGTTCATAGGCGCCACAGCTGGGTAGCAGGACTACTGGCTGCTTCCCTCCTTTGGAAGCTGGTATGCTGCAGTCTAGTACCATGAGAGCTAATCCTCAAGAAGGATTCGTTCAGGTCCAGCTCACAAGTATTTGGGCCCCGTGTCTCTGCATGGTTGCTGTCTTCAGCAATAGGAATTTATCTTTTACCTATGAGAGGCCGCTAAAGGCAATTAACAATAGCATTTAACGTTTGGGGAGTCTCTTGGGCAACCCTGATCAAAGATTTAAAAGAGGAATTCTTAAATCATCTGGTGTGGTTTTTGTACATTTTGTCTCACTTTCCCCAAACTTCTGTCTTTGGTACTCTTGTCTTCCCATTGACGCCCAGGGTAAAGGGCATCAGTGACTGTTTCCTCTGCAGCAGATGTTTAGGCATGAACTTCCTTGTGTGGATTGTTACTATGTCATTCTTGATAGCTGCAGGTCTAGAACAGTCAAGGGGGAAGAAAGCACCACTTTTCCACACCAGGTCTCTCAGGCTGCAGCTTGCTTATTAGAGCTACGTTGGCTGGCCGATTCCCAAGGACCTGCCTTTCTCTGCCTACCCAAGCTAGGATTAGCAGTGAGTGCTAGTGTACCCAGCTCATTATGTGGGCTCTGCATGTATAGTACCTTACTGTCTCCTAAGGTCCCCTGCCCCTTTATTTGTATTTTGCTTTTACTTTTACTTTTGAGACAGGATCTCCCTAAGTTTCCTCAGGCTGGCCCTGGACTCACCCTGTATCTTAAGTGGGTCTTGACCATGTATTCCTTCTGCTTCCTGGGTAGCTGGGATTGCAGGCCTGCACCACCAGCGGCCTTGTTGTTTTACAGACTCGGCACCCAGTTGGCTGAGTGCCTCCTGAGAATGTGATCTCTTCCTCTGAGCGCAGCTTCATTTGGTGAGGTGTGAGGACTGCTGTGATTCTCGGCCACTGTGCACTGAGGAGAAGTCAAGTAGCTAAAGAGTTCTGGAGAGTGCAGGAGCAAGAGACATAGGCCTGCGCTGGGTGAGCCTTTGTTTACAGAGATGGTGACATCTGAAGGGGCTTGAGAAACATGAGCGCACCAGATTGAGAACAGGCTACTGAGCAGTCCAAAGTGGGAACGCTTCTGCACAAGACACATTTGGGCCACAGTCAAAGAAAAAGTCCAGTGTGGTGAAGACAAGATGAGAAAAACCTTAGCAACAGAAAGTGGGTCAGGGTGAAATTTGAGATTGGAGGTTGGCCCTAAAAGTCAGTTAGGGCACCATTAACCTTTTCTCAGCAGGATGGAGTCGAGTAGTTTTATGATTTAGTAAGGAAACTCTGGCAACTCTATTTTAACAGGGCAGGAGGAAGGTAAGGGCCAGGAGAGGCGTGGATGAGAACAGATTTGAGGACTATCATTTCATTTGATTTGCTCAGCTTTGACACTTACTGTAAAGTGTGCTCAATCGTCTCCTGGAGAGTGTTCAGTTTCAGATGGGATCATTGTTACTATTACGATTTTGAATTTTCTGAGACAGTCTCAGAGACCTACGTTCCCATGCTGGGTGAGAATCTGGCACTGTGGCCTGGCTTCAAACTTCAGGGTGTCTGTCGTATCTCGGCCTCTGGAGTGCTGGGGTACAACAGTCATACCTGAAGGCTTGATGAGTCCTGAGAAGTCTTTCCTTTTTTAAGACCGTGCCTCTAACATGGGGTTGAAGGTCTAAGTATTTAACCAGTCAAACCTGTTTGTCAGTGAACTTTAAGGTGAGGTCTCTAAAGACAAAGCTGTCTGAGGAATTAGAGATGGGAATGAGAGAAAAGACACTTAAAGGCAGTCCTTCCCTCTTTGGTGTGTCTGCACTGTAATTATGACTTTGAGGCTTGCACATGTTGTTTAAAGTTCCTTGGGCAACTTTCTTCTGAAATAATATAAGGTGCCCTTGGGCTTCACATCTTTAAAAGGAACCTCAAAGTTTGTAAGGAAGTGTCAAGAGTAGAGAAAGGTGGCACAGCAGCAAAGTTGATGAAGTGGCAACAGGAAAAGAAAACCAAGCTGCATGTCCTCCATGGCTGCTGCTGTGATGGTGACATGTGCTCTGTAATGCTTCACCACTGCTAATGTCCTTCACAGACTGCTGCTCTACACTGCTTCAACTGTTTTTAGGGTGTTTGTGGGTGTTTTTAGGGGTCCTCTGACAGAAGGAGCAGAGTTACTCTGCTTCCTTGTGTTGAATTGCCCTGTCCTGCGCAGCAGTTGGGCTTCATCAGTTTGAAGGGTTGACCCTTCAAAGTAAGACGCCCTGGCCTTGATAGAAATTACAACAGGATCTTTATGAAAGACTGAATGGGACTGTATTTCTCTTTCTTTCAGAATGCCAGCGACCTGTATCTGGGAGAACTGTTCTTTGACACCTCACTGTCTGTGCACTGTGGTTTTCTTGTTGCTTTAACTTATCAAGGGTTTTGCTCTGCATTCATGAGTGCTGTCTGGGTAGCTTTTCCATTGCTCACAAAGCTTTGTGTGTACAAGGACTTCAAGAAGCACGGTAGGGTAATTTTGGTTTTTGATAAAAATGGAAAGTATGTTAAAAATGCAAGGCTCCCAGAGATTATTTGACCAAATTATCTTTCCAAAATATTTGTTTTAATTTTTTATGCCATGCAAGTATCTTATACTGTATAGTCCATCCCATTCACATGTTTCTGAACATATGCTATTATATTGCTTTAATATTGTTTATACTTTATGCTCCCTGATGAAATTGTTTGATTGCACTAGATCACATGTACCAAGAGACTGGAGTCCCATCTGACCCAGTTTCTGTCAAGTGACGAAGCAGGTAAACACTGAAGATGAGCCTGCATCATGCCCTAGAATTCCATAGGCTTGTTTTCTTTCTTTTCCCCTAGGTGCCCAAGGAAGATTTATCGCTCTTTACTTTTTGGGGATGTTTATCCCGTATCTTTATGGACTGTACCTCATCTGGGCTGTATTTGAGATGTTTACTCCTATCCTTGGAAGAAGCGGTTCGGAAATCCCTCCTGATGTTGTGCTAGCCTCCATTTTGGCTGTCTGTGTGATGATTCTCTCCTCCTATTTTGTAAGGAAAAATGGACTGTTTTTATTTTTTATATATGTGATGACCTAGCTGTGCTGGATTCTGTAAAATTATGTCGCTCATACTTTATTAAGAAAATTTAACCAAAAAGGGGTGGGATCAATGTTTGTGCACTGTCAGTTTAATATGCCAAGAAAATGTTAGAATGATATGGGTGCACACTCTTGATCCCAGCACTCGCGAGGTGGAGACAAGAGCATCTCTGAGTTCCGGACCAGCCAGGGCTACATGGTGAGACCATGTTTGGTTGTTACTGTTTTAATGTTAAAACACACACACACACACACACCACACACATACACAAAACACACAACACACACACACACACACACAGCCTTCATTGCTAGCCAGGTCTTCCTCTCTTCCTCCCAACCTGGACACAGGTTCTCACTCTAGTTTAGAACTATGGGGTACCAGGATGGCCTTGACTTGTGGTATTCCTCCTGCCCCAACCTCCCAAGTGCCAGGAGGCATACCTAGCGTCTAAATCCTCTCTTCAAATAGCCTTCCATCGTGCCAGATATGAATGTGTGGGATATATACTGTGTGGATTGAGATGTTCTGTTCCTGAACTTTCAGAATAGTCCCTATGAGCATGTTTTGAAGTTAGTAAGAGGCCAATTCACAGTAGTTTAGGGTGTGTGTGTGTGTGTGTGTCTGTGTTGAGGTGTTTTCATTATCATTTTACTACTTCACTGCTATGAAATCAACATTCATGAATTTGACCCTTGGGTGATACCCAAACATGCTTTTGTCTCTCAGTCTCTGAGTATACTGCCCAGGTATGGAGTCTTACCTTTGCTTGTCTGTGTGCTTCTTTTCCCATGGAACACCTTAAAGGAAAGGAAAGAAGGTTGGTCAGTATGGACCAGACCCCTCAGGAGAAGTTCTTTTGGCATGATGTCTGAGGCTGATGGTGAGCCTTTCTAGAGAAAGCATCTCTGTTTTGTGCTTTTTCTGTTAGAATTCCTAAGGAGTATTTACTGAGTACAATAGGTATTCCTTGAGATCTGAGGCTAGGGGACCAAGTAGAGACAGGGATTGGAGTTCTTTACATCTTAGGTTTTCATGTACAGGATACTGAGCTTTATACAGTAAAGGGCGTTCCTGGTGGAAATGAGGTTCCAAGGACCTAGGGAGGTAAGAGGGTTACCACAGTCATAGTCCACGTCATCCATAGATATGTCCTCATCTCTCAGGAAAGCTCTGCCTACACGGCTTTGCATATGTAGCCATATACGGTAATTCTTATGCACACTGCTTGCCGATGGCTATACTAGTATTTAAAGGAATCAGACATCCTAACTGGCAACCAGATGCCGGCTGGGGCTGTAGCTCACATGCATGAGGCCCTAGGCTCAGTTCCCCAACACTGAAAGAACCTTCCCTGGACAACAATACCTACCAGGGTATTATTTGCTCTTACTGTTGTTTACAGACGTAGATGGAATTCTAATGTTTCTTGCTTACTTCTTTCAGTTTTATTATTAACCCTTCAACCCTGCATTGCTGTACTTGTTAAGTATAATTGCTTCTCCTTTCACTGTGGCAAAATACCTGATAAAAATAGGAAAGGAAAAACATACTTTGTGTCATGGTTCCTGAGGGCACTGCCCATCGTGGTGGGAAAGGCACGGTGGTGCTTCTCTTCTAGTGGCAGGAATCTGTGGCAGGTGTGGGTGGGACCATGACAAGAAGCCAGGGATAACAGAGGACTTGCCACCAGAGATGTAATTTCTCCATTAGACCCTTCCTCCTTGACCTCTGCAGTCTTCCCAAATAGCTCCTACCAGCTAAGTGTTTAAACACAAAAACTTGAAGAGAATGTTTCACATTCATACCATGATAGATAAGTTTGCTGTTGTGACAATGAAGGGAGATTAGAGGCCTGGGCAGGGTGACACCTAACGAATTCCAGCACTTGGGAGGCTGGGGCAGAAAGATCAGAATTTGAAGCCAACCTTAATTACATATTGTGATGCTGTCCCCAAAAGCAAACAATACAGCCCTGGAGGAGAGAGAAGACTTCTGTCCTCTGTAGATGGTCTGTATTATGAATTAGGTTTTCATTGTTCTACTAGAGCAGTGGTCCTCAACCTTCTTAATGCTGTGACCCTTTAATACAGTTCCTCATGTGTGACCGAATCCATAAAGTATTGTTGCTATTTCACAACTATAATTTTGCTAGTTCCCAATTGTGATGTAAATACCTCATATGTGACCCTGTGAAAGAGTCTTTCAACTTTCAAAGGGGTCTAGACCCATAGTTTGAGAATGACTGTACAAGTGATTGAAACTTTTGGTGCCTACAAAGGTGATTCAGATGCAGGATATTTGAATTCGGTTCCACTGATCATGTGGAAGGGAGAATAATGAACCAGTGAAACTGGAGATTAGGAAAGCCTCTAAGGCATGGCTGTCCTCAAATCCATAACGAATCAAAGGGCATTACCATAAAGTATGTCTTACCTGGAAGGCTTTTGGAAAGCGCACCTCTTGGAATATTAATGACAACTGAGTATGTTGGTAGTATGTACCTGTGATGACAGCACGTTTGAGCCCTAGGCCAGGCTGCTGTAGACAGGGGGCTGTAGATTAGGTTGAGACAAGGCTATGTAGTAAGAATCTGTCTCAAAACAACCCTTCTCCCTCTAAAACTAAAAACCTTATTTGCTTTTTGTTACCATGTGAAATGACACTGTTACTCTGAGACGCTGTAAGTTACTCTTTTCTTGGTTCTCTTATTTCTGTGTTACAGTTAAAGATAGCTGCTTTGATTGAATGAGTTGCTTCTTGGTAATAGAGCACTGACCCCTAATCTTTATCTCAGAACACTTCTTGTAGTCACTGAGGCTTCATTAAATGTTTTAGAAAACAGTTAACATTCCTGTTAAGTGAGAAGCTATCACACTTTTTGGAGTTATTCTTTGTTGAGTATCGTGGTTATACTGACTGGCTGAGAGCCAAAACAAGCCTGATAATAGGCATGGGATCAGGAGACCCTGCAAGAAACAGCTATACTGGGGTCCTTTTTATGTGCCTTTTAAAAAAAGCATGTGGGTTCATGTGCACTCTGAGGGTATGGGATGACATCGAGTACCTTCCTTACCATGCCCCGCCCTATTTCCTTGAGAGAGTACCTCTCACAGAACCTTTCAGCTAGGCTGGCCAACCAGAGAGCTCCTAGGATCTGCCTGTGGGGGCTTGAACCGTCATTTTTAGCTTTTTATATGGGTAGCGATTTAAACTGAAGTCCTCATGTGTGCACTGGAAGTGCTTGTACCTACGGAACCATATTCCCAGTTCCATTCCTCATTAGTTTTGGTGTTGAGACAAGGTCTCACATGGCCCAGGCTAGCCTTAATCATTCTGAAGATGACCTTGAACTCTCAATCTTCTGGCCTCTACTTACCAAGTGCTGGAATTACAAGATTGTGCTACCATGGTTACCTTCATCATCTGATTCTATATTCACTCAAGATCGTAAAAATGATATAAGATACATTTAAGACAGAGTACACTTGTAAAGGTGCTTAGCTATAGACTCAAGCATACTGTCACTTCACGGCCACTCCTTCATCTTCATTCTGTGAGTCATCCATTTATATCTTCCCAGAAGGTGGAACTTCAATAGGAAATGGTAGTTTAAAGTTGGATTTTAGGACAACTTTGACAGTAGTTAGCTTGGGTGTGCTATAGTAAAGATTTTTTTTTTACATTATATATTTATAATTTAATATATATATTACTAAAGTATATACATTTTCCTCTATTTCCTTTCTTTCAACTCTATCATACAGCTGCTGTATGTCCAAATTTACCAGGATGTTGCTCATTACTTGGTGGGAGGTTTGAGACATTTTGAGCATTATGACCACTTGGGAGAGGAACAGATAGGGTTACAAGCTGTTTTGCTGTCCCACCACCTTAAACCCTGGGGTGTTATTTCCTAATGTAGTATACATGCATAAGATCTTTCATTCAAGAATAGTACTGTTTGGTTGAAATTGCTCAGGAAAGAATACTGGAACATTATATAAGAGGAGACTTAACTTTGCATAGACTTTGATATTTATTTTTTTTTAAAATTTTCCTGTCATTGAAAATATCTTCATATTCATGTTCTTCATGAGCTTAGGGGTAGGCAGGAAGATGAAGAGACAAAAGTAGGAGCTAGTTTCAGATAGCTTCTCAAAACTGAGGAGACCGTGAATGCATTTTGTGTATACTCGTCTTTCAACTTGCTGATTTAGTTACAGAAGACAACAACAACAACAACAACAAAACCCACTAAGCCTATTATGTGGGCTTTTTTGGATGTGAACCTTGTTTAGTGTTTACAATGATTAACCTAAAAGGACAGTACTGTTTCACAGGGTAGTTTCCCTCAAATGTAACTTGAAGAGGTCCATCTAAAAACTAGTCTATATGCCTCCAGGTCTTATTAGCTTGTCTTAAAACACTACAGATGGAATCTGAATTTTATTGAAACACATGCTTAGGGATAAAACCTTACCTTTGAGAGTTTGGCAGCTTTAACACCGTGCTTGGATTCAGTTCTGTGTTGTCTGCTGTGCAGGGCTGGCCATCACTGGCCACTGAGGCACATAGGGCAGTGGCTTGGCTGCTAATAGGTTCTGGTCTTTTTTCCTCTGATGTTGGAACACAGGATCACTGTGCTTTGTTTCCGGTCTCCCTTTGCTTTCTGGCCTACTGTAGCCATCTGTCATCTTCTAGGCCCTCACTTAGGATGGTCACACCTGAGGAACTGCTGCTTTGTTTACTGGGTTTCACTGTACATCACACAGGCTCCTAGTTTTTCTTTATTGTGTTCTAGACAATACCTACTAAAAATATCATGTGAAACACTTCTCTACCAATGTTACAAACTCGTAATTTACTTCTGTGCTTGTGTTTAGATTACCTTCATCTACCTTGTGAACAGCACAAAGAAAACCATTCTGACACTAATACTGGTGTGTGGGGTCACGTTCCTCCTTGTCTGCAGTGGAGCCTTTTTCCCATACAGCTCTAATCCTGAGAGTCCAAAGCCAAAGAGAGTGTTTCTTCAGGTAAGGGAGGTTCTTCAGAAGCAGTGAGATTCAGGAGATGAGATTTGCCTTGTGGGTTTTGAGCTTCACCAGTGAACAGAAAAACTGACTTTCCTGCTGTTGACATAATTTAGTTGGCTTAGATTTCTTTGTGTATAAAGTAGCAAGGAACACTGACCATCAGTGGCCATTCTTATTACCTAGACACACTTACTATAATATATGTATGTATATATGTATGCATATAGTCTGGAAGCCATGAACATTTAAAACTACAAATAGCATAAATATCTGTAGGCTGATTAAAAGTAGGCATCAATCCCTGGAGCTGGAGTTACAGGTTGTTATGAGCTACCTGAAGTGGGTGCTGGGAATTGAACCAGAGTCTTCTGGAACAGCAGCAGTACATGTTCTTAACCACTAAAACATGTCTCCAGCTCCTGTTTTGGTTTTGAGACATTCTCTTACAGTACTCCCTAGACCTGCCTTCAACTCTTGGGCTCAAATGACTCTCCACTTCAGCCTTGTGAGTAATTGAGACTACAAGCACACACACTGTCCCTGACCAAGTCTTATATATATTTTACATTTGCATTCATCTGTAGTTGTGAATTATAATAAAAGTCATTTGCATGTCTGTCATCTAGTTTAAAAGGAAAAAACCCACTAACAGTAACTTAGTAATTATTAAGTCTCCTTTTTACTTCCCTGTTTCTAATCAATTCTTGGAATGGTCTTTTTATTTTTATTAAACTGGGGTAGGAATATGGGTGAACTAGCTTCTTATTAGTCTTGTTCTTTTCAGCACGTGAGTAGAACTTTTCATAACTTAGAAGGAAGCATAGTAAAAAGAGACTCTGGAATCTGGATCAATGGGTTTGATTACACTGGAATGTCTCATGTAACACCTCACATTCCTGAGATCAATGATACAATCCGAGCTCACTGTGAGGAGAATGCCCCGCTCTGTGGCTTCCCTTGGTATCTTCCAGTGCACTTTCTCATCAGGTTGGTTCCTACTTTTTCTTAAGTTGGGGGTTAGTTCCCAAATTCTATCACACTCAAGATTCAGTAAAACATTTCTTAACTCAGTCAAGTGCTGTGTTTGAAATGTTCCTATATTACTATAAAATTTCTATTTCTTTAGTAGATAATGAACTCAGAATAGATTTCTATTTTAAACTTAGGAAGTCTCTCTTGAAGAAACTTGAGTAGTTAGCAAGAGTGATGCTCCTGACTAGGATAATACAAGCAACAGTTACCGTTCCCTCCCAGTTTGAGATACTCAGACAGTTGGCATTCCAATATTGTCAGAGGAAATGGGATAGGCAGTGGAATTCCTAGGCAGTTCCTGCTTTACAAAGGATTTATCATTTATGTGCACATTATGTGTCTGCCTTGTGCCTGTAGAGGCCAGAGAGAGTGCTGAATCCCTGCTTCTAGAGTCACAGGTGGCTGTGAGCTGCCATGTGGATGGTAGGAATTGAACCTGGGTCCTCTGTAAGGGCTTTTTAACTGTTGAGCCATCTCTCCAGTCCTTAACTTTTTAATCTTAATGTTGAGAAGGATTTATTAACAACTTGGGGTCAGCAGAGGAGCTGTCTCATTTGTCATTTCATCAGGCATTTCTCAGACCCCTCTGAGTGTTCTGTAACCATTCTGTAGAGTTATGGATTTATTGTTAGCTACTAAAGCACCCTAAATATTCACATTATCTTTCCAATAGGAAAAATTGGTATCTTCCAGCTCCAGAAATTTCTCCAAAGAATCCTGCTCATTTCAGACTTGTATCCAAGGAGAAGATGCCATGGGATTCAATAAAGTTGACCTTTGAAGCAACAGGTAAGCCACTCTCCTCCTCACATCACTTCCTAAGGTTCTCAGTCAGCTGCCGTATATGTCTTCCCATGCAACACATCAGAGACATTTCTTTATCTACCTACTGACTAATGTCTCACTCCAGAGCCCAGGCTGGCCTACGATCACGGTCTTCCTGCCTCAGCCTGCTGAGTGCTGGAACCATGTACCGTCACACCTTGTACCTTACAGTATTTCTAATAGCAGCTGAAAGTTACTTAAGAAAATTTAATATATTTTACTGCTTAGAACAGTTTTAGAATCACAGAAATATTGAGCAGAAGGTACAGAAGTTAAAGCTTATCAGGTTTGGTAATTTTCTTCTAAAACCCAGCTTTTGTCCACTCTCCTTTGAGTTCTGTTCTGTGCCTTTTGTTCCACTTGTTTCTCTTCCTTTCCTGGTCTACTAGAGTGGAAACTTAAATTACCCCTCTTAGATTGTTATTCCTTTTTTTTGTTTGTTTGTTTTTTTGTTTTGTTTTTTCGAGACAGGGTTTCTCTGTGTAGCCCTGGCTGTCCTGGAACTCACTCTGTAGATCAGGCTAGCCTCGAACTCTCAAACTCAGAAATCTGCCTGCCTCTGCCTCCCAAGTGCTGGGATTAAAGGCGTGTGCCACCACCACCCAGCAGATTGTTACTCCTAATATATGTACTCAGTGCTATAAATTTCCTTTTGATTTTTGCTTACACAATATTCAACTTTTACACTTGTAACTTTTATACCTGAGAAATGTATATTTGACTCTGGGGCTATAAAATAGGTGTACAAATCAAACACTTCCTGATAAGTCAGAGAAATTGATTTTAACACAGTTCTTTGGTATACATATAATTTTACTGGTTATTAAAGACAAAAGGATGTTTATTTACACACTGGTAAGACGGACATGCTTGCTCATTCATTTTCTACGTAGGGAGCAGCACCTGAGTACTCCCTATTACAGGCGTTAGACCTTGACTTTATCATCATCGGTGCTGAGAGTTCCACTCTGAATAAATCTGTAGTGTAGCTCAGTAAATATGTAGTACAAAACAGCAGAAGTATGTTTAGAGTCATTTCAGAAACTGTAAAATTCTGTCCTAGTCCCAAGACAAAATTCATTTAATAACCCTAAATGAAACTTGTCAGGAACTCAGACAGCAAGTCTGAAAAGTCTAACACATTTGAGTCCAAAGATATTCAGATTTGGTATTTACATGCTGATGAATGACTGTTAAAAAACATTTAAAGTATGTGACTATTATGTTTCTGTAAGAGAATAAAATTTTGTATGGATAGTATAAATACTAATTCATAGTCCAATGACTATTGAATCTGAGCCTGTGTGTTTCAGGCACCATTTGGTGGCATTGCCATTAAGAGCACCCAGTGCCATGTCACCTGGAACTTGTTTAGTAGATCACACTGGTCTCAAAGTCAGAGATCAGCCACTGCCTCCCCAGTGCTGGGACTAAAGGCATGTGCCACCACTGCCCAGCCCAGTTATGACTTTTTAAGAAACTTTACTGAAAGTCTTACTGTTTGACAGTTTGTTGTCAAACAGATCCACACTGTCCCAAATATTCTTTTCTTCCTACATTATGTTCGCCTTTCCATGTTTAAAACTCTTAGCTTTTGCAGATCCCTACCTGTGATGTCCCCGTAAGTCTTGTCCTAGGCTTCCCCCCACAGTACTGCCAGCTGATTTATTACATTTGAGTGTTACTTCCTACCTTAAGAGATTTATTCTATATACATGAGTATACTGTAGCTGTCTTCAGACACCAGAAGAGGGCATCAGATCCCACCACAGATGGCTATGAGCCATCATGTGGTTGCTGGGACCTCTAGAAGAGCAGTCAGTTCTCTTAACTGCTGGGCCATTTCTCCAGCCTAATGACTGGACTTCTTAGCAGAGCATTTTGGGCTTTTTATATAAAGCTAATAGGCAAGGTGGAAATGTGATGGTTAACTTTGTATCTATCTGGCTAGATTGTAGTACCTGACATTTTCTGATAAGATGTAAATAGTGGATTTGAGTCTGGTTGATCAGTTACCCTCCTCCAAACACTGAGAGTCTTAAGGAACTCACTACAGGCATATCACCTTCCTGCAACCTGTTCCAGAGGGCTGGAGATTAGGTAAATTACATCAGTAGTTATCAAGTTACCATTCTCAATTAGATTCTGTCCTTTCTGTTCTCTCATTACTTAACCTTGTTGCTAGATACTGAATGTCCAAACTGTTAAACCTCCTTGAGCTTTGTGGAGAGCCTATCTAAAGTCATACCACAGATGAAGCTTAACAGTATTGCTTGTCACTGCTGATTGACTTAAATGTTCCTCTTACAGGACCAAGCCATATGTCCTTCTATGTTCGAACCCACAAAGGATCAACGCTTTCTCAGTGGTCTCTTGGGAACGGCATTCCAGTCACAAGCAGAGGAGGGGACTACTTTGTGTTTTACTCCCATGGACTCCAGGCTTCTGCATGGCAGTTCTGGATAGAAGTGCAGGTGGGAATTTCCCAGGCTCCCAGACAGTACATAACAACCTTGGAGTTCAGTATTCTGGCTTCAGAGAACTAACTGATTTTTCTCCAACAGGTCTCAGAAGAACAGCCAGAAGGAATGGTCACTGTGGCCATTGCTGCCCACTATGTATCAGGGGAAAACAAGAGATCTTCTCAGCTGGATGCTCTGAAGGAGAAGTTCCCAGACTGGTCATTTCCCTCTGCGTGGGTCTCCACCTATAGTCTCTTTGTGTTTTAATTTTGTGGATGGACTTTTAGTCCATGTTCCCTGGACATTCCATGGGATAGTTTCTCTCCTGCGGCACATGGATGTTTGTAATACAAGTCAATGAATTTTACTGAGCATATGTTCAAAGAGCTTTTGAGATAACACTCTTCAGGGCCAAGTATGTATGGGTTAAACTTTGGGACAGTGATGCCTGGCCATTTTGTCAGTTGAAAATTCCTGTTTTCTGGCATTTAAGCACACGTGGATACTGCCAATCATGTCATTTATATGACTGTAAGGACTCAGCAGCATACCACTTCAGTAGCTTTCCTTTGAGAATCAAGAAAGATGTAGACTCTTAGACCACTGTTACTGAGATAGGCAAGTCCACTTGTCAGTGGATGGTGGGTACGGTGCCGTTCACTGGAGTAGTGCCTCTCTTTGCACTACAACTTTAAGTCACTGGAAAGGAAATGGCGCGAAGGTGGAAGCCATTGCAGCCCCGTAGCCGCCCGAGCGCTGTTTCTTCAGGCAGTTCAGGTGTTTTGCGTGTTCTGAAGCCTAAACCCTGACTCTTGAGTAGCATTCCGTGTCTGCTTTCCTCTCAAATGTGTTCCTGTCATTTACCTGGAGAAGAGAACATTTCTTCAGCTATATTTTCTTCTTATATTTCATGGGTTGGTTTATTTGTGCAAGCACAGAACCTAAACTTCTTCCCTAGTGCACTGAATTGCCAGCATAGCTGCTGAGGTGGAAGAGGAGGAGGGGCTGGGAGGACTGGGGATTTTATAATATTTATTCTCTTTGTTTTATAAGGATTCTCTGTTATACACGGTTAATCCTTTAGCACAACATTTTTATTGCTGCATTGGGTTTTCTGTTTTCCAGCAGGTGACTAAGTTCTTGTAACTTGCTGTCAGTGAGAACTAGCTGTCCCGATGTTGAGGTTGTAGCTTATACAGGAAGGAGACTTAATGGTGCTTTTCATTCTGAAGACAGGGATGTGGTGGCTTGTGAGGTATGTCACAGCAGTGGCTCTTGTGACTTCTCTAGGTTCCATTGGTGACAGAGGATGAGACGAATAATAAATTATGCTAATTTCTTTTACAGTAGTAAATGTACAAAGACAAAATTTGAGTTAGCCAACAAGCATGACCCAAAATATAGTTGAAAGAAAAGCCATAGTAAGGCAAAAACAAAATAAAATAAACAATATCCTTGTCAGATGAGAACAGGAAGGCATCTCTCAGAGTGACCCTCAGAACCATCTGAACGTCAGCAAGAGCATAGTTAAGTGTGCACTGCAGGAGAAGAGCTTCTGAAAATTCCTTGTGTGGTATGTGTCGGTTTCTGAATCATGTTCCTTGTATTACCTGCCTAATATCTAACACCTTAAAAACCTAGGCCAGTGCAGACATGAGGGCTGCAGCTGGAGCTGAATGGTAACATGCTGACTGTCACATGTGGTGTGACACTGTAGAGTGGATACTCTTTTTTGGTGGACTCACAGAAAGCTTATCTCAACAGTGCTTCAAGTGTCTGGCTCCTGCTGTGTATGTATTATCTGTCAGGTCCTACTTAAAGGTTTGAGAGTTTATGTCTAGCTTCTAAAGAACCTCAGCTGGGGAAAATAAGTAACAGTACTAATAGCTCAATGAATTTCAGAATACAGGCTTATGTTCTGTGCCTGGGTTAATCTGACATTGATTACTAGATGTAATTACGGGAGAGGGGAGCACAACAGCATGCTGAGGAAGTCCACGACCCAGGGTGCTCTCTGCTCCTTCCTTTGGCAGGTGCCTTTCCGTATAGTCAATCATGGTGTTCTTTCCGTCTTTGGGTTGTTTCTCTATGCAAACCATTCTGATTTTCTCTAACACTGTTATGCAGCCACTAACAAGATGTTTGGTTTCAGGGCATGCTTAAAGGCCAGAAATGGTCAAGTAATTACATACAGTGTTCATGGCTTTTAAAAAGCACACTCTGTAGTTATCACTAGCCCCTACCCTTTTAAAGATTATCTGATCACTTGTGTAATTCACTTCTCAAAAGACAGTTTCAAGGTCTATGTAATGCATTCCCCCCAATGAGTATAAACATAAGCAGCACCTTAGGAAGTAGTATAAAGACCTGACTTCACAGTTCTTAATTTTTTAAGAAAGATTGTTCTACACAGTGTTTCCAGTTTAGCAGCTATAACTAAATGTCAAAGATTCCTACCCCCCTGCCCCCCTACCCCCCATTTTGCTGTGAAGGAGGTTAAACCACAAGCCATCCTGGGTGACTCAGGAAGCTGTTGGAAGAACATGTCTGTCTGTCGGACTCACTTCTTTGCTGACTTGTTGAGGGTTAATTGTTGCCTTACAATGTTACTGAAATAAACTTTTTAACATACTGGTTGGAAAAAATGGATCTTTTAAAGCTGCTTTTTATTCTATCTCCATATTTCAAGGCTATTTTATATCCCTAGTGTTCGTCTGTCTCTCTCTCTCCCTCTCATGTATGTATGTATGTATGTAAATGATCTATATAGCTTGAGTATAACTGCTATTTTAATAAGTGGTATAAACAAAGAATTCAAGATAGAAATGCTCGCTTCACCTGGAATCTTTTTATCTGGAATGAAATTATGCATCTGAATTTCAGAGAAATAAAAAGAACCTGTTGAGCAAATGGTAAAATCTTATACACTGAGAGAGGAAGTCACAAAAGGAAGCTTTTTTAAATTGTGGCTAGGGATAAGAGCAGGGAAAGAAGCTACATTGCAGCCTGGGACAACTTCTTGCCCAAAGGAAACCAGGACAGAGCCCACAGCATTTCTCCTGGCTCTTCTAGTTTCCTGAGGAGATTCTGTCCCAGCACTTCAAGGTCAAACAATTTTTGTTTTTTTCATTTTAGGGCCAATAAAGTCACAATGCACATGTGCCTTCTGTATATTGAACTTGAGAAAAAAACATTTGATTACAAAACTTATTGAGAATTTATTTAATCCAATATAATGACCAAGTGGGCTCAGTGAAATGTACCACATAAACAATAATCACATGACCATCTCAGGAGGGGATCTCTCCTGAGGAAGGAAGGGGTTGTTTGTATCTCCAAATGTTCTGCTTTGATATCAGCAGGAAATGTAACTATATATTAACTTCCAAGTAGTTATGCTGAACCAAAACAATGCAGCAAAACAAAACTTTTTTAAAAGTATACAACAACCAAAGAATAATTTTCATAATCTTGCTTTGGTGGTTCCTAGTTCTATTAGTTACACACTATATATTTTATCAGTCACACCTGGCTGAGAAAGGTCTCCGGCGAGAACCCAGAGCACCAGCATCATACTTAACGATAAAAGACTTCTTTAAGACAGGAAGAAGACAAAGGGTCAATTGCCCCTCCCACTGATCATCATTCTGGTGGCTGCAGCCAGGACAACCTGGCAAGAAAAGACAAAACATCCAGATCTGAAGTGCAGAGTTAAAATTGTCTCTGGTGGCAAATGACATGATCATCTACATGGAAAATCAAAAAATGCAAAGATGAAATTAAGCATTCCATTTATAAGAATACCAAGAAGAATGAAACAGAATAAAGGCAAAAAGGTACAAGACATTGCAGGAAGAAATCAAAGGGACAAAATGAATGAGACATTCGTGGCCCAGGAAGCATGATATTAAAAAGGACTGCATTCTTCAAACAGATTTGTTTGCACATTGCAGACCATCTCCACAAAGCCCCAGTTGGACTGTACGCACACTGAGAAGTTGATCCGAAATTCATATGGAACCACAATGTCCTAGACCAGCCAAAGCAGCCTTGAGATAATAAATGTAGTACTTGTACCTCGAAAGCTTCCTATGAAGCAAGAATCACCCAGAAATAAGACCACACATTTATAGCGTATCTATAAAAAACCCACATTATAGTGTTTTTGACAGTTCAGTTGGGAAAAAATCTTCAGAACATTGACTATCCATATGTAAAAGAGTAAAGTTAGAGTCCCTTAAATATACAAAAATTAACTCAAAATGTGTCTAAATGTTTTAAGCTACAAATATAAAGCAGAGGCATAAATATTTATAGCCTTGGGTTAAAGAGTGGTTTCCTAGCAATGTCGCAGAAGCACAAGCAACAAGGAGAGAATAAACTGAACTCCCATGTGCTGCAGCTAGCACGGTGGCACACGCCTTTAACCCCAGCACTGGGGAGTGGGAGGGAGCAAGATCTTTCTGAGTTAGGCCACCCTAGTCTACAGAGTTAGACCAGGACCGTTAGGCTATTATGAAGAGAAACTCTGTCTTGAAAAACAAAACACAACAAGCAAAAAACCAAAACCAACAACAACAAAAACTCAAAACAAAAAAGAAAAGGAAAGCTGTCTTCCAAAATTCCAAAAGATAGTATCAAGGAAGGGAAATCACAATACTAATCATAAATTTGGGTAAAGCCTAAATATCCAAAAATATATAAAATCACGGGCCAACCAAAGATAAATATGATCTTTTAGTTTGGTCTAAAAACCATGGAAAAAGATACACATAAGCCATCTACATTAAGTGTAGGTAGCAGACGCTGGAACCTTCATTTACAGTGGGAACTAGTGAAGGCACTCTAACAGAACTTGGTATTTCCTCAGGGACATAGTACTTCATCATAATCCAGCAATTGCACTTCTAGAGAGAAATGAAAACTTCCGTACAGAAAAGCCTCGTCCCTTGAATCCCCTTCCTTATCTATGAGGCTATGGTCCAAGATCCTCAATGGGTTTTCCTGAAACCATGGATTATGTGGTACATCATACTTTTTACCTATATACACACCTGTGGTAAAATCAGCAATTAGGCACAGTAAGAAGCATGTATAACAGTGTGCTGTAATAAAAGCTATTTAAACCGAGAAGCTGTTAATGTCTATAGTTTATATTTAGTTCTTTCTGGACCTTATCTGACTAGGTAACTGAAATCCTAGAAGGCAAGGCGGGGTAAGGGAGAATTACTACGTGAATGTTTATAGAGTTACAGCCTAAAGTCAAAAACCCAACCTGTAACCTTTAAATGGAGAGTAAACATTTATCAAACAGCATTATTCAGCTTTTAAAAAAATAAAGTAGATATATGAAAAATGTTCAAAACATGATGCCAAGGTAATAAACACCCATAGTCTAGATGATCCACAAAACATATAAGGGGCATAGAGGACCATGCAAGTAATTTTTAATTCTATCTACTAGAGTTGACGCCTAGTTTCTTGTACACTTCTGTTTGCTTGGTGATCACATGGTGTGCATAATTTTCTACCATTTCTTCTCTATATCTTGAGCATGTATGTCTATGTAATGAATGGTCCCAATATTCTGCCATCAGGCACTTTGATGTTCTTACTCTGTATCTAAATATTTTAAATAAATGTTTAAACTTTGAGGTATTTCATTCAGGAGAATATAAGATTTATTTTTTGTGGCATTTAATACATACCCTTTTTTTTGCTGTTAACCTGAGATAAGTAAACAAAAGTTTACTTTGTTTGTGTAATAGTTTTATTACCCTTTACCAAGGGGAGTGGAGGGAATACACATTACAAAAGCAGCAGCAACTTTAGTTACAAGCAAAGGTTGTTTTTATCTCCAAATGATCTCTTTTGGTATCAGCAAGAAATTTAACCATATATATTAACTTTCAAATAGTTAGGCTGAATATTTAAGTTCATTAAAGATATGGCTTACACAGGTGATATGTTTTAAACCAAACAATGCAGCAAAAACACAATTTTTAAAAGAGTATACAACAAGCAAAGAATAATTTTTATTAAGCTTGCCAAATTTCTTGCCTTGGTGTTTCCTAGTTCTACTATACACACTACATATTTTATCAATGAGTCATTCCCAGCTCAAACCACAGGAGTAACATTAGCTAATTCAGACCCAACCTTTCAGATTGTGAGGTGGTAGTCAGATGACTGGGAACAGCAGCACACGGCTGTGAAGCCCACTTACTGGGGCAGCTGAGGAAGAGGTACAAATTGGTGTTCAGCTTGGGCAAGGCTCTGCCACAAAAAAAAGGGTGGGAGGGGTTGTGGGCTATAACTTACTAGTGGAACACTTGGTTAGCATGAGAGGCCCTAGGCTCATTCTTAATACCGGCCCCACCACCAAAGTTGGATTAACTCAGCAGCACTCATGTAAGACATCTGAAAAGACCACTGCTGCTTATTATGGTACACTGTTTTAATAACTAATAGCCACATTAGAAATTGACTAAGTACAAAAGAATTGCTGTTTTTTTTTTTTCCCTAATGGAATGGGACAGAAGAAATTTCAGCCTATTTATTTATTTATTTATTTATTTATTTATTTATTTTTGCTGCACTGCATGTACTTACTTAGGAAACCTTATTCTCTATTTTAAAGTTCAGAACAAGGTGGTGGTTTGATACAATGACTTAAATAAAAATAGCACCAGAAGGACCAGGTACCAATAGTAACATAGTTCACCCATTCAGGAATTTTATTATGTAAAATTATTGCACTTCTAATGTAGAAAGTAGATAACAGTAATTACTAAATTCAATAATTTTAACTAAATTGGTGAAATTTGAAATAATTTCAAAATAATTCTGAGGTTTCCTCTAAAGGATACTGCCTAAGAGGACCTAGTCTATCTCTTTAGTTTAAAAGGCAGGAATAGAGGACTGAATTCCATTTCTAAGCTATATCTGCATTATAGAGAGGCTGTTTTACATGGTGGTACGAATTTGGTCCACATCAAATACATTGTTATAAAAATAAACAAGATTTTATAAAAAATAACATTGCATTCCTTGTTCAAATTGCACAGTACAAATAAGCTATCTAAATTAATACTGTTATTAATAATTAGAATTACATGTGGAAGGTATGTGTTTAGTCTGAAGCAACTGAATATGTAGTTCTGCTTTCATAATGTATGAAAACTAAATTTTAAGTCACGTCTAGAAATACATAAAATATTTTTAAACTTTATAATAAAGAATTTACAAACTAATTTTTAGTAGCTGATAATACAGGATCCCACAGTCTATTTACATAAAAGCCCATTTTTATTCAATTTACAAAAGCAATAAATAAGAAACTACATTAATTTGCACAAAACCTGTTCCACCTCATGATCAGTGGGATTATTACTTTACAGCGGGTCAGCAAACCTGTCCTCCTCTGTGATGACTGCTCATTTTGGAAAGAAGAAAAAGTCTTGTCTTTATTCCAAGAGTGAGTATAGTCATGCAGAATCCAGCGTAAAACCTTACAGATTATAATACACGCCTTAAAAATATGGACAGTCCCTTTGAGTATATTTACATGAATATTCACAAAAAGATACAGTTCTTTGATACAAAATTTAGTGGTGTCAGCATAATTGATAAGAACCCCCTCACC